TAAAGACAGACAGAGACTAACAGAGACAGAGACAGTAAAGGAGACAGAGACAGAGACAGAGAAAAAAAGAGACAGTAAAACAACAAAGAGACAAAGAGAGAGGTAAAGAGAGAGACAAAGAGATAAAGAGATAAAGGGACAGACAGAGAGATAAAGAGACAGACATAGAGATGAAGAGACAGACAGAAAGAGAGGTAAAGAGACAGACACACTCTCAGGGGCATATACAAAGAGAGACAGACAGAGAGAGACAGACAAAGAGACAGATAAAAGATATTTTATAAATATGCAAATGCCTTTGCATTCATGTTGCTGTTCACTTGCTGCCTTTGTCAAGCAGCAGCAGCAGCAGAGACAGCAGAGACATACATATAAATAACAATATAAATATATATAAATATATATTATATATATTTATATATATAAATGTCTTCACCCTCAGGAAGGTAAGCCCCACGGGCTATCCTGCTGCTCTTTACATTTTGTAGCAGCAGCAACACCAGCAGTAGCGGCAGCAGCAGCAACACCAGCAGTAGCAGCAGCAGCAGCAACAGCAGCAAAGGAGACACAGTCTCCTCCAGAATCGGATCCCAGGCAGGGGGCGACGCTGCAGCAACACCAGCAGCAGCAGCAACAGCAGCAACAGCAGCAGCAGCAGCAGCAGCGGCAAAGGAGACACTGTCTCCTCCAGGATCGGCTGCTAATACGACTGTGTCTGCTGCTGCTGTTTTGTTTTTGCTGCTGCTCTTCTTATTCTTTATTTGTCTTCACTCGCTACTCTGCAGCAAACGTCTCTGTCTCTCTTCGTTTGCTGCTAACTCTCTCTGTCTCCTCTTATCTCACCTCTAAACCCTAAACCCTAAACCCTAAGTCTCTCCCCACAGCATAATACGAACTACTACGCAGCAGCAGCAATGCTGCAGCATAAAAGCAACAGCAGCAAAAGCAGCAGCAGCAAAAGCAGCAGCAGCAAAGTAGCATAAGTAGCAAGTAGCAGTAACTGCCGTAGCAGCAACAGTATCTGCAGCAGCAGCTGCAGTATCTGCAGCAGCAACAGCAGCCGTGTCTGCAGCAGCAGCAGCAGGTTGTTGTCTCTGGCCTATTGTCTCCTGAGACATTTACTGTAATTGTTTGTGGTGCATGCATGAAGTATATTTTAATATAACCTCTTTACCCTTTAGAAAGGAGTCTCAGCAGCAGCAA